AATGTATTTGTGAACCCTGTAAATTATCCACAAATCTTCATATGAATATATAAATCTGGTTTGTATTTGGGGATAATGTAGCTCAATCTCCTCTTCATCAGAAATGTCTCCTCTACTACTACCACTACTCTATTTACAACTCTCAACTCTTGGTAAACTCTGAACCATATGTGAGCTCCTGTTCATGAACTAATGTTGAAATGACACACAGCCACCCAACAAAGTTTTAGTGCCCAATCACTTTTGAACCTTTTCAAACTGGGCACTGTGTGCTAAAAGGGCTATACCTCCCAGACAGTCTGTTCTATGCTGATGTAAATGTACTCAAACTAAAGCTGAGACTTTACATGTTCATGCTGTATCTAATATAATTTTCCCAACTGAATGTGTTAAAAGACAGAGCAAGATGGACAAAAAGTGTGTCCAGACACTTAGAGTCTGTCCAGATGCTTAGAGTCTGAACTATGGGAGGTGTCCAGATATGCAATTTTATCAGACACCTGCTAGCCAATCCCAAATCAGGATTATTACTGTATGACTAATATTATAACAGACAAAAATGATGGTCGTCTAATATATTTAAACTTGACCATCATTAGACGGTTAGACCATTCATTGAATGCTGAGTTGTAGTTATTAATTTCAAGTACAGCAAGTCTGTTTTTACAGCTTTCACTGTTTCTGTAGCTTCCTGCCAAAGGAACAGTCTGTGGCTTCTCTTAAATTACAACCCCTGGCAAAAATTATGGAATCACCAGTCTTGGACGATGTTCATTCAGTTGTTTAATTTTGTAGGAAAAAAGCAGATCACAGACGTGCCACAAAACTAAAGTCATTTAAAATGGCAACTTTCTGGCTTAAAGAATCACAAAAAGAAATCAAGAAAAAAAAGCTGTGGTAGTCAATAATAATTGCTTTTTTAGATCAAGCAGAGGGAAAAAATTTAGAATCACTCAATTCTGAGGAAAAAATTATGGAATCACCCTGTAAATGTCCATTTCCAAAACTAACACCCGCATCAGATTAAATCTGCTCATTAGTCTGCAGCTATAAAGGAGTGCTCACACCTTGGAGAGCTGTTGCACCAAGTGGACTGACATGAATCATGGCTCCAACACCAGAGATGTCAGTTGAAACAAAGGAGAGGACTATCAGACTTCTTAAAGAAGGTAAATCATCACGGATTGTTGCAGAAGATGTTGGTTGTTCACAGTCAGCTGTGTCTAAAATCTGGACCAAGCACAAACAACATGGGAAGGTTGTAAAAGGCAAGCATACTGGTAGACCAAGGAAGACATCAAAGCGTCAAGACAGAAAACTTAAAGCAACATGTCTTGAAAACAGAAAATGCACAGCAAAACAAATGAGGAACAAATGGGCAGAAACTGGAGCCAATGTCTGTGACCGAACTGTAAGAAACCGCCTAAAGGAAATGGGATTTAAAGAAAAGCTAAACGAAAGCCATCATTAACACCTAAACAGAAAAAAACAAGGTTACAATGGACTAAGGAAAAGCAATGGTGGACTGTGGATGACTGGATGAAAGTCATATGCGGTGATGAATCGCGAATCTGCATTGGGCAAGGTGATGATGCTGAAACTTTTGTTTGGTGCCGCTCCAATGAGATTTATGAAGACAACTGCCTGAAGAAAACATGCAAATTTCCAGTCATTGATGATATGGGGCTGCATGTCAGGTAAAGGCACTGGGGAGATGGCAGTCATTACATCTTCAATAAATGCACAAGTTTACATTGAAATCCTGGACACTTTTCTTATTCCATCAATTGAAGGATGTTTGGGGATGATGACATAATTTTTCAAGACGATAATGCATCTCGCCATCGAGCAAAAACTGTGAAAACTTTCCTTGAAGAAAGACACATAAGGTCAATGTCATGGGCTGCAAATAGTCCAGATCTCAATCCAATTGAAAATCTGTGATGGAAATTGAAGAAAATGGTTCATGACAAGGCTCCAACCTGCAAAGCTGATCTGGCGACAGCAATCAGAGAAAGTTGGAGCCAGATTGATGAAGAGTGCTGTTTGTCACTCATTAAGTCCATGCCTCAGAGACTGCAAGCTGTTATAAAAGCCAGAGGTGGTGCAACAAAGAACTAGTGGTGTGTTGTAGTGTTTTTTTGTTTGTTTGTTTTTCATGATTCATATTTTTTTCCTCAGAATTGAGTGATTGCATGATTTTTTTCCCCCTCTGCTTGATCTAAACAAGCAATTGTTATTGACCACCACAATTTTTTTCTTGATTTCTTTTAGTGTTTAAAACCAAGAAAGTTGCCATTTTAAATGACTGGGTTTGTGGCATGTCTGTGATCTGCCTTTTTTCTACAAAATTAAACAACTGACTGAACATCCTCCAAGACTGGTGATTCCATAATTTTTGCCAGGGGTTGTAGTTTGTGAATCCCAGAGAAGTTTACAGTTTTTATGAGGATAGAGATCAGGCTAAACAAGGCAAGACTTTCATCAGAACTCATTTTTCTTAAATGAACTAACCACAGAACATGCGTGTGTGGTTAACAAAGTAAGCAATGAGTCATTAACAGAATTCTATTGTGTGTGCTTTGAATTGATGACTGTAGAAGAAAGACAGCGTGTCAATCTAAGGTTTACAGCCCACAGAAAGAGTTGCCTCTGACAGGAAAATACATAAGGCATGATGTTTGAACAGCAAGTTAACAGAGAGCCCACAATGACAAATCCTGAATGACTGTACGGCCACCAGCCCTGACCGACAAAATGCTATCAGCACAGATCTGCAAGCCATTAAAGAGTGAAAAGCTATCCGTCTTCACTAACATATTCTAGGTCAGTCTGTAACACAATAGCTGATGCAATGATGCAACGGAGTGGTTAGTGCTGGCACGCCCTCCTCCTAAGCCTCCCATCTATTATTCACAGTGGAAAGAAGACAAAGACACTGTGACCAGTGGGTGTGAAGGTAAAAGGAATGTTGAGTTCTTCAGGGGAGTTAAAATCCATCCATCCATTATCTATACACCACTTAATCCTCACTAGGGTTGCGGGGGGCTGGAGTCTATCCCAGCTGACTTATGGTGAAGGCAGGGGACACCCTGGACAGGTACCCAGTCTATCACAGGGCTACACTTAGAGACAGACAACCAAGCACACTCACATTCACACCTACGGACAATTTAGAATCACCAATTAACCTCAACATGTGTTTGGGCTGTGGGAGGAAGCCGGAGAACCCGGAGAGAACCCACTCTGCATGGAGAGAACATGCAAACTCCACACAGAAAAGGTCCCGGGCGTCCTAACCGGAATGCAAACCGGGGAGGACAGTTCTAACCACAGAGCCACCTTGCAGCCCAGAGTTAGTATTTAACTGAAAAAATATACTAATCCTGTACCTGTTGTTAGTGTCATTACATAATATTTTATACTAAATATAATCCATGTTATTCATACTGCCTTAACCTCTGTTCTAACAAATTAACGTCTAATGAAGTTACAACACTAGTCTAGCGTCTGGAATGATAATTCAGTTTTGTAAGAGGGAGGCTTTAATGTGTCTCGGTGCTTCGTAATGAATAGGAAATACAATTCAGTCAACTCACGTCAGGTTGTGTAACATCAGTCTGATCCTTTCAAATTTCAGTATTAGTGGTGTGGACAAAATATTAGGAACACATTTCTCTATGAGATCCTGTACTCTACCACCCACTATAATCTTGTTTATAAGTGTAATATCACCTGATGCATGAAAAGTAATAAAAGTAAATCTTCTCCAGTCAGGACATCAACCATACTGCAGCTCTGAAGTTGAGACAGTGGCAAAACTTCGGCCTTGATATTCGATCTCCATGCAGCATTTCACATAGACACTTACTCTTAGTCTCTCCAGCTGAATTGGAAAACCCAAAATCCACTTGTGTTAAGTGTAGTATAGTAACCACCTGCTCCTTACTAAGTTTTTATCTGAATTCTCTGAGTTCTTAGCTGATTTACTCGGTACAGATGAAGTCATTATAGTGTGTGACTTTAATATCCACGTAGATGAGAACGACAGCCTCAACTCTGCATTTAGTTTATTGTTATATCCAGTTGTTTTTTCTCAAAATGTAAGTAAATCACCTGATGGGGTACCAGGCAAGGTAATGAAGCCTATGCTGATCAGCTGACAGGGATCTTCACAGAGATTTTTAACACCTCCCTGTCAGTGCCAAACAAGACAGCTGCTGATAAGGACCTAAACAACTACAGACCAGTTGCATTTACTCAAAGCATCATGAAGTGCTTTGAGAAACTGGCCCCACATCTCATCAAAGCCAGTCTCCCACTCTTCCTTGATCCAGACCAGTACGCATACCGGGCAAACAGGTAGATGGTAGTTGGTCTCATTTCAGGATAAGACAAGGCGGGGCACAGAGATGAGATCCACAGATTAACAGAGTAGTGTTAAGCAAACAAACTGGAACTGAACACCAACAAGACAAAAGAACTCATCCTGGATTTCAGGAGGAAGAAGAGAGCAGACCCTACACCGTTGTGGATCAATGGAGCCTGTATGGAGCAGGTCTACACCTTCAAGTTCCTGGGGCTCCACATGTCTGATGACCTCTCCTGGACATTCAACACCACTGCAATCACCAAAAAGGCACAGCAGCGTCTCAACTTCTTAAGAATGGTGAAAAGGAACAATCTGGAGAAGAAGCTGCTGGTGGCCTTTTGCTACTCTGTGACTGAAGGCCTCATAGCCTACAATATACCGGTGTGGTACGCAGACTGCTCAATGGCAGACAAACAAACTCCACGGCAGATCATTTGCTCCACAGAGAAGAACTTTGGCCGTTTGCTGCCTCCCCTGTAGAGCATTGCAACCACTCGCATACTCAGGAAAGCAGAAGACATTATAAAAGGCCTCCACATATCCAGGCCACAATCTGTTTCAGCTGCTGCCCTCAGGCTGATGCTACCGGACAGCACAGACAAGAACAGCCAGATTTCGAGACAGGTTATTTTTTTCCCTCTGGCTGTCTTGGCACTAAATTCTCCAACACGCGAATTATGTGTTTGTCTGTCTGTTTGTGTGTGTGACTGTGAACAGTCTCCAGCTTGAGTGCTAAGGTCTGACAAGCTGATATTTTACAGGTGAGCTACGAATGGCCTCTCGGCAGAATGATTAGATTTGTCAATCAGTGCAAAAATAGCTTGTTTATCGCGTCCGACAGAAGCATGTATACATGTCTACTGAGGGCCCTCGAGTTGTTTTATCTATTTGTCACTTTTTAAGACGATCATTCATTGCTGAATATGGTATATGTATGAATGGGCGTGTATGTTTTTAAGCACCAAGGGAGTTGCACTCCTAATTTCATTGTATGTTTGCATACAATGACAACAAAGGCTTCTAATGAGGGATGCAGAATCGTACTTGGCCTTAAACACCTCAGAAACATATGATATAACCAGATAGTTACTCTAGTTGGCATTACCTCTACGGTAAAGAGCCTTGGAGGTTTTTTTTGTTTTTATCAAGATGTGTTCTTTAACTCACACAAAAAGCAAGACAGCCTTCTTTCACCTGTGTAATACCGTCAAAATCACGAACATCCTGGCTCAGAGTGATGCTGAGAAAGCAGTCCATGAATCGATAACTTCTAGATAATTCCTTTTTATCAGGATGTGCCAATAATTCTCTTAAAAACCTCCAGCTGATCCCAGATGCTGCAGCCAGAGTTCTGACAGGAACCAGTAAGACAGATCAGATTTCTCCTGTACTAGCTTCTCATCACTGGCTCCCTGTAAAATCCAGGATAGAATTTAAAATCCTGTTTCTAACTTCTTTAATAAAGCTTATGGTTAGGGTTGCTCAAGTTACCTGAGCTGTCCCTTAGTTATGCTGCTATAGGTTTAGACTGCGGGGAGACTTCCCATGATCCACTCAGCATCTCTGTCCTACTCTCCTCTCTCTATTTCTTTTCCATTATACAACACCATTACATGTAACTAGCTTTGCATCTTCTCTCTCTGTAGTTTGTTCTCTCTGCAGGTGTCTCTGGATCTGGAGCATCACGTCTCTGATCTGTGGGTCACCGGCCTCACTGACCTCCAAAGTGTTTACTGCTCTCTTACATGTTTCTTGTCTGTTTTCCAACTGCTATCCTGCTATCCCCACCCCAAGATGATCAGAGGAATGTTTATTATGTATGCTGTAAAGCAATGTAGAATCACAGAATAAGATGAAAGTGAAGAAACAAGAGCTCCAAGGTGTTGGGAAATGTCTGATGACTGTCTCAAGAAACTGATCGAAGCTGAGCGCTAACACATCCAAACACTGTCAGCTTCAATCACAGTAGAGAGTGAAAGAGCAAAAGAGCAGCCACCTGCACGCAAGCTGTGACAAACTGAACTCATGATCATATCAGACTACAGACAGGACTCATCACTGTGTGTGTGTGTGTGTGTGTGTGTGTGTGTGCACAGAGAGAGTGGAAGAAGGTGAAGTCTTAAATGGACTGTAAACTTACAGCAACAGACATACACACCGGATGCCAAGAAAACAGACCTGGAACAAAGAGAAACACCAGTGAGCATCCTTCAACCAAAAACTATCCAAAAGAGACTTTGTAGAAGTTCATTAGTGGCAAATCTAACAGTTTAGAAAGTGGTCGAGCTTGAGCAGAGCTCACTCTAACCTTTGTTTCTAGGCAGGACACCAGCATCCCTGAGAACTACGTCTACAGCCTGTTTTGTCAATAAATAGAAAATGCATTACAAGTAATTGGTGCATTCACATGAGTAACTAATGTGAATACACCAAGTTATAAACCAATAGATTTAATAATAAAGCCAAATCATCCTGAGTTTATTTAATCCAAAGACGCCAAGCTGTGTGTGTGCGCTGTTCAATCCGTGGCAGCTTTAAAGACAGTGGACTGATGCTGTTAACACGTCTGGATCCACTCACTGGTTCCGGGTCTGGACAGCAGGGAGATGACCAGGGTCAGGCCCAGTCCGGTGCCATGAGCCATTATCACCGCCGTTCTCCGCAGCCACACGTACAGCCAGAAGTCCCGCATCCCCAGCCCCTCTCCCACCGGGCTGTACTCCACGTCGGACCGCATGCTTGTGAACCGGCTACCGGCTCCCTCCCCGGGTACCGGGTACCGGCTGCGTGCCCGGCTACCTCCCCAGGTACCGGCTACCTGCCACTGGCTCCGGCTCGTGACAGGGCGCGTGCGCTGCAGAGCTCCATGGTCCAGTCAGGAAGCAGGAAGCAGGAAGAGCTGAAGGTGAGCGGAGTCAAGCTGCACTCCACACCACATACAAACACTTCCGGTGGGTTTTTCAACGTTGCCTGGAGTACTTCTATTCTTTCGTTTTCCCACCAGGATTTATTCAGTCATCTCACTGTGACGGCTATGTCGCCCTTGTCTCACAAATGCCAGTTTTCCAATGTGCTGACGAGCGTATTCGTTTAAAGAAAGTTGTTTTGAAAAAGCATTTCTAACTTCCGGTCTTAGTCTTGGTTAGCTTGCGGCTAATTGATTAGCAAACCAAACTGACGCTATAATCCGCCGAGCCTGGATGAAGCCTCGGCTGTGCGTTAGGAGGCTCTGTGCAGCTCTGCTCCCGCCCCTAAACACTCGGACCAGCCGCTGGCGGACAGTGACCACATCCCACGGAGTTCCCACATCTGCGGTCCCAGCCGGCGATACACGCGGGGCCGTGTCACTGACGGCCGGTAACTGTGGGCCTCCAGCCGTCTGCTGATGGATCGTGTTTCGGTTCCTCTTCCTGGTTTGAGGCCGCAGGGAGGGAGAGCAGCCTCACCTGACCGGTGTTTCCTGCTGTTCAGTGTCGTCCTCACTCTCCTGCGCCGCAGCTGCTGAGCAGAAACACACCGGCTCTGTATTCAGACACTGACAGGACATTGTGCTGAAAACACGGCCATTAATCCACAAATCATGTTTAAGTGTGAATAATCGTATTGAAAGCAGATGGCAGTGAAATGCTGGGGCGATGACATTTATAGATGAATGTCTCAGGACAAACCAAAATACTGTCAGACAAGATGACTCCTTCTGCAGATAGGAACATTTCATGATGTCAAGGATCCAAAGCACGCTGCCAAAATCACACCAGTTTCTCATGAAGAACAACAATGACAAACAATGACCTGGCCAAGTCACTTCACTTGAACGCAAGATTAAACTCAAATCTAAGAAATTTGTGCAGCACAGATATTTGTCATCAAAAATGTAGGTATGTGAAGCATTGAAATAAGACCTGAATCTCAGCAATGAAAGGTGGACTGAGTTTTGTCGCACTGAGTTCCTACTGTGGAGCCTGTATTTTTAATGTAGTAAATCTAAACTGTTACTTTAATTTGACAGGGATACCTGCTGTTTACCCAAGTAGTAATGCAATGTGTTGCAATTGTTAATCATTTATTAATCAGTTGAGGATTAGAGCAGTTATAATTTATTATCTCAGTAATAAATTCAGCTGTGGTAAACTATCTTGGTTGTCTTGTTTTGAAAAGTGCAGTCCGACACCTTTTGCAATCAAGGAATCATAAAAATGGCTCCATAACGCCGCAAGAGAAAACAAACTCCACAAGGCACGTTTCCAGATCACACAGTCTTAAAAAAGAAGTCACAGAAACCAGGTGAAAAGGACATTTTTAATTCGTTTTTATAAACCAACATATTTAATTTAGCAGCATAACCGGATGGTCTTGAGGTATTTCTAAATCCATACTCTGAATTTCATCCCACCCTCCCACTCCCAGGTGTCCCTCAGACATTCATCCAGACCCACATACCCAGCTGTGATTCACACCAGCAGATCCATACTGCACTAAGTCTGCACATACAAACACAACCTGACACAGTCATACATGAGCGTATGCCCAGTTGACAAAAGGCAGACAGATGCACACACAGACACACAGACACACAGACACATTTGAGTCCTGTTGCCTCAGTCCTGGACTGAGCAGAGCTGGCTCCCTCATAGTGGCTTGTAAGGCAGGCACACTTAATGGTGCAGTTTTGGCTGTGGGACAAAAGAAAATGTTGTAAAATATTACTTTCAGTTTGACAGCTGGTTTGTATATTCACTTCAGAATTGTACAGCATAGGATATTTTTAAAAAAAACTAACTGATATACAGGGTGTCAGAAAAGTACAAATCTGAAAAATGGGATGGCTGGCTAAGACACTCTTCACATTTGGTTGATTGTTCAACTCAAAATGTTTTGAATTTGTGCTGGGGTAGCGTTCACTGTGAAATGATAGTTAAGCAGGCTTCAGCTTCAAGCTGTTAATCTCAGTTAAATCCCACAAGGTAACTGTTTCCTACTGCTGAACAGCTAAAAGGTCTTTTTAAGCTGAAGATGCACATCCCAAGACAGGGTTATTGCAGTCTGTGTCCATCATGTCAATTAGATTTCACTGACTGTTGCCATGGAAACAACTCTTAACTGAAAGATAGCCTCGGGGTAAGTTGGGGAACTTTTTAAACTTTAAGTTAAATCATTTTTAATGTTTTGCTGCAGACTTTGATGGACTAGTCTCAGAGCCAAACTAATAACCTAACTATAGACACCACAGACCACCAATCACATGCTAATTTTGAGCACTGACTGGTTTTAAGACGATAACAACCTTCAAGCATTATGAAAGCCACCTAAAGCATCATCATTCATTTAAGCATGAGTCCGTAGATCTGAGACTTTCCCCTTCACAGATGAAAGCAGCTGTAGTCAGCTCCGGTCGTTGACCCAGTGTCACGTTAAATTATCTTTCAAAAAGTCAGTACAAACTGCTAATACCATAAGTGTGCTAATACTCAAAAACATTACTTTTCTGTTGCATATTCTTTCCAAATGATAGTTTAGATCTTCACCTCCAGATTTCCTGAATTTCACTTTTTGAGCATGTTTCAGAAAGCATAAAATACAAGTATATAATATGTGCATGAAAAGCATTTGGCTGGTCCTCGTTTTTGTCTGACAGGCAGCATTTTAAAATCTTGACAAAAGTGGTCTCATAAGGTACGTCAAGTGTACGGCCAGAAGAATTTACCAGAAAGGAACAAGGCTGCTAATAAACTGTAAACCTTGAGGACAAACTTGTGCATTGTAACGTTAACCGTCTGTCTCTATCCTTCTCAGTACCCTGATTTTCCCTCCTCCAAACCTACCTTCTGTGTGCCCAGTTTCTTCTCCACACCCCCAGCCAGCCCCCCACCTTTACTGTCCTTCCAGGTGTAGAAGTTAGAGCGCGGAGAGGAGGAGGTGGCAGAGCTGGAAGAGGAGGAGGAGGGCAGGCGGTGCGCTGAGGGTTTGGAGGAGGGTGAGTGTTCCTCCATGCCACCCCCCTTGCGTTTCTTCACCAGTCCCTGGTGCTCAAAGCCCCTTCCGCTACCCTGCCCGTGCAATCCTGAGTCCCCCACGCCAGGCCGGCTGTGGGAATTGGTGGTGGAGGAAGGGTCTGGGGGTGACGAATGGCCCAAAGGAGGGTGTGTCCGTCTGTACGTCCAAACCGCTTTGGCGGCTGGTGAGTGGGACTCTGAGGGGGAAGGTTGGGGTCGGGGTTTGCTGCTGGGGGATAGAGTGCCATTGGTCTGTCCGTGTGGGAGGGGGGAGGGAATGGGGGCTTTGGAAGAGGAAGATGAGGAAGAGGAAACATTGGAGGGTGGGCGGCCCCGGTCCTGAAGAATGATGCAGTTCCTGTCGGGGCCTGAGTGCTCTCCTTCCTGGGATGGGGCTTTGCGCTTGCGGAGGGCAGCAGCCGCAGCAGCCTCCTCTCGAAGCTTTAGCATCTGCTTGCTGGGACGCCCCACTGGATTCTTAGATCGCCCAGCACCCACCTGACGCACCACTGCAAGCTTTCCCGGAGACACGAGATGACCACCCACGATGCTGCTGACACTGCCCCCAGTGTTCTCTGATGGTATGGCTGTTGGAGTTCTCCCTGGTCCACGAATGGAAGAAGACGAGGAAGTTGCCGTTTTGAGGGAGGAGCTCATATGACTTCCTGTGCGGATCTTACAATGTAATGAGGGGGAGGACGTTGTAGCTATGGAGGAGGGAGATGAGCATGCGATGGCCTTTGCTGTAGAAGGTGAAGATTGAAGGTCTGTGGCTTGAGGTATTTTCCTGGATGGAGAAAAAACAAATCAGATTATTATTGTATCAGTTACCTTGATTTGGGGGAGGAAAAAAAAATCATTCAACTATCTGACCTCTGTGGCTTTAATCCTTTACAGACAGACTAGCCTTGTTCTGATGCACATTTTCTAAACCTCATCTTCCTTCTTCCAATATTTTATGCATCTTATAAAACAATTAAACATTGGGAATGTTGTATATTTGTTGAGGGGAGTCCTGAGATATTGCATTCCGAGTGGCACAAGACTCTTGTGCCTCAAGACCATCTTTTACACGATAAGGTGCAAGCTGCTGTGAAATGAAAGCTCTTATGCTGACATTGATGATGCCACATTATTGGTGGCTGTGAATACACAAATGTGGACTATAGATAAACTTTGTAATTTTACAAAACTGCATCTCAGAGATGTGTCTTATATTCTGGATGAGACCCATCACTCCTGGTTGCTAAAACAATAGCTAGCAGTACTGGCAAACTGAAGTTCCTGTTTTGTAAAACAAAGGTTTGACATTTCTCTTAATAAGCTCCTTTTATCATTATTGACACGGTATCGCTTTGATTTTGCCTTTTCTGATTGGTAGCAGTTTAACAACTACATCAAAAAGAAACTGCAGGTAATGCAAAATAATCTTTACTTATTACTGCATCTCCTTAAACTCATGTTAGCAGCGGTCCATTTAGAAGAGCAGGACAGCTGCAAGTACAGCTCAGGCTAGAGGTAAAGCTGCACCATACAGTTGGAACCAGAACTTTACATACACTGCGTAAAAGACATATAACCTTTTTCTCTCATTGTCTGAAATTCAATCAGAGCAAACTTTTCCTGTTTTAGGTCAGTTAGGATTACCAAAATTATTTCTATTTGCTCAACACCAGAATAATGAGAGAACGATTTTTTTCAGAGAATTTGTAATTACTTTCTTCAAAGTCAGAAGTTTACATACACTAAGATTACTCTGCCTTCAAACTCTTTAGGAAAGCCCAGATAATTATGTCATGACTTTTGAAGCTTTTGACAGGTTAACTGACAACATTTGAGTCACCTGGAGGCACACCTGTGGATGTATTTTAAGGCAAACCTCAAACACACTGCTTCCTTTTGTGACAACATGTGACAATCTAAAGAAATCAGCCAAGATATCAGGAAGAGAACTGTGGACCTCCACAAGTCTGGTTCATCTTTGGGTACAATTTCCAGATGCCTGAAGGTTCCACGTTCATCTGTTCAAACAATTACATGCAAGTATAAACAACATGGGAATGTCCAGTCATCATATCGCTCAGGAAGGAGACGGGTTCTGTGTCCCAGAGATGAACGTGTTTTGGTGAGAAAAGTGCGTATCAACCCCAGAACAAAAGCAAGAGACCTTGTGGAGATGCTGCTGAAGCTGGTAAGAGAGAGTCATGATCCACAGTGAAACAAGTCCTGTATCGCAATGGACTGAAAGGCTACTCAGAAAGAAAGAAGCCATTACTCCAAAAGCAACATGAAAACGCCAGATTACAGTTTGCAAATGCACACAGGGACAAAGACCTTCATTTTTGGAGACATGTCCTGTGGTCTGATGAAACTAAAATTGAACTGTTTGGCCATAATGACCATCGTTACATTTGGAGGAAAAAGGGAGAAGCTTGCAAACCTGAGAACAGCATCCCAACTGTGAAGTATGGGGGTGGCAGCATCATGTTGTTTTGCTGCAGGAGGGACTGGTGCACTTCATAGAATAGATGGCATCATGAGGAAAGAACATTATGTGGAAATATTGAAGCAACGTCTCAAGACATCAGCCAGGAAGTTAAAGATTGGGTCAAATTGGTGTTCCAAATGGACAATGATCCTAAGCATACCTCCAAATTAGTTACAAAGTGGCTTAAGGACAACACAGTTAGTGTTTTGGAGTGGCCATCACAAAGTCCTAAACTCAGTCCTGTCAAAAATTTGTGGGCAGAGCTGAAAAGGCATGTGGCGCAAGACGGCCAACAAACCTGACTCAGTTACACCAGTTCTGTCAGGAGGAATGTGTCAGAATCCCAGCAAACTATTGTGAGAAGCTTGTGAAAAGAAACCCAAAACATTTGACCAAAGTCATACAGTTTAAAGACAATGCTACCAAATACTAAGGAAATGAATGTAAACTTCTGACTTTGAAAAAAGTAATAAAAAGATCTCTAAAAAATATTTACCCATTATTCTGGCATTTAGCAAATAGAAATAACTTTGGTAATCCTAACTGACCTAAAACATTTAATGTCAGACAGTGAGAAACAAGGTCATGTGTGTTTTTATACAGTGCATGTAAACTTCTGGTTTCAACTGTATGTAAATATTAATGGCTCTGCTCCTCAATACTTTGTTCCCACATAATGGCAGCAGCTACCTGGCCCATCAACATGAAATATTTAGGAGTAGAAACCGTAAAAAAAAAAAAAAAGAAAAGAAAAAAAGAAAAAAAGAAGTGACTTCTTCACCTCCCTCTATTTGTATTGCATTTGTGCTTTTCTATTCAGTTTGCTTGTATAGCTCTACTGTGGCTGTGTGAAGGCAGCAGGATATCTGCACATATTCTTGCTTTTATTTTCCATCCATTATCTATACACCGCTTAATCCTCACTAGGGTCGTGGGGGGGCTGGAGTCTATCCCAGTCAACTTAAGGTGAAGGCAGGGGACACCCTGGACAGGTCACCAGTCTATCACAGGGCTACACTTAGAGACAGACAACCAAGCACACTCACATTCACACCTACGGACAATTACAATCACCAATTAACCTCAACATGTTTTTGGACTGTGTGGGAAGAAGCCGGAGAACCCGGAGAGAACCCACGCTGCACGGGGAGAACATGCAAACTCCACGCAGAAAGATTCTGGTGCCCCCACCGGGATGCAAACCGGCGACCTTCTTGCTGCGAAGCAACAGTGTGCTTTTGTTTTATAAAATGTAAAAAAAATAAAAAATAAACAGAGGGAGCTTGAAAAACAGGCTGCAGGTTCAACACTGTTCACCCAATGTATGCAATCATCTCAATACAATAAAGATACAGTATTGAATGAAATATGATCTTTAACCAGCTGCACTGAAGTACACATGTACCAGTAACCAGGTTACTGCACAGCTCTGAAGTGGCAGAACCCAATTTTCTTTAATGAACTTTGCTACATATGTAAAGGCAATCAATATCAGTAAATAATCAAGAGAAATCAGTCTCTATCTTAGAGCCAACTTCAGACTTCACTACACCTATTCTGGGCAACAGAGAACACCATCTGCCTCATCTAGTAGTGACTAAGCAGCGGGTTACGCTCAAGTGTTTCTGGTGCTACCAATTCACAGTACATGATGTAACTCGCCATCATCCATTTAGAGTGTGTACGAGTCTGGACAAAAAATATGGACTGATGTGCAAACAGAAAGATACACTTCATCTAGCACGATCCGACAGTCATCACTCACCACTGGACAATTTAAAAATGTCACTGGTGACTAAGAAATTTCAGCAGAGTGAGCTGTCTGTGTGTGTGTGTGTGCAATTTAATGTCAAAGCCAATTTGCATTTGCAGGCTGAACATTTGTAGTGTAGGCATGTCACCCATCTGGCACTGAAATCTTATTTTACATAATCAGAGATTAGAACTTTTAATACTCCAGAAAGAAGGCAGAAAAATGGCTTCCCAATAAAAACCCTCAGTTGTTTTTAAACTGATTAGTGCAGAAAATATAGAATAATGCTGAGCAAAGAAAGGTTAGAAAAATGTCTTGTTTTGGCCTTTAAAGTATTATATTAGTGTCACGTTTAAAATCGTAAAAATTTGCAGTCGTATTTTCAGTTGGCCACAATGGTAGATAAAATAATGGAAAGCATTTACAAAAAGAGCACCAGGTATTTCTCTTTACAATTAACACCACAGCAAAGCCAGAAAAGCCTGGCAGAAATGTGGATCTAGGTTCCTTACTTCCAAAGATGGGCACTGATGTGCTGCTCCAGCATGCTGCCGAGAGCCGACCTCAGGTGGTGAAGTCTTCTGTCAAATGTGTAGATGCCATGACCCAGTGCATGGCTGCCGAATGAACACACCTACAGAAAAAACACTTGTTGTCAAACAAAAACACTCTGCTTTCTTTGTTCCAATAAAACCCCATTTGACTGGTGTCTGGTTTCTGCATTTTGATAAAAAACTCTACAAACTCTGCAGGAGACAACGTGAAAATAAAACAAACTGTGATACACGTACGCTTTCTATTTCCTTACATGAAAATGTACTGTATGTTAGTAAAGTTCTAGATTTTTAAAAAAAAATCCCAATTCTGACACTAGTATCCTCTGACTAAGTTTACTGAAATGAAGATACGAAGCAACTGACTGCTGTGATACACTGCAGATCAGTGTGCTGCCACGTTAAGGTTCCACTGTCCACACCTTCACCATTATATGGGATAAAACAGAAGGCAATGGCATTAAGACAAACTCCAGAAGACCAAAATAAATCTCTGATGAAATTGTCAGTAGTAGTCAGGTATGGAAGGCTGAGCTGGCACTGAAGCAGTGCTGCATCGGTCCACTGAACAGTATTGCTTTTATACAAACTTGATTTACAACGATCAGTCCTCACAAGGAAGTTATCTCTGATCATATAATAACGGACAGGTCTTCACTGTGAAATATAACGCGTATAAGACAGGGACTTTTCAGAAAAAAAGTGATGCAGTCTAAGGACCCGAACGTAACTTAGGTTTGCAGAGAAAAAAAATCTTGATTTAAAACTATGTAGCTGGATCAAGAAGACTTTGTAGTCACACTGTAGTCATGGATTTGAAAGAAATAGAGTATTTTTGAAAATAGGTAATGATAGCATATTCATACTGTAGCTCAGTGTTCAGACAGGAAAGACGGTTGCTTTTTTGCACATCAGGGGGAAAGAAACACAGGCATGCTCATGTTTCAATGCCTGTTGTGCTTGTTTTACCAGCATCTTCAGTTCCTTGAAGACGACAACAGTTGTGCAACATGTAAAACATAATTTGACAAAATCACTGTACATTTAGTCATATTTCTAGCTTTGATATCTACGCCTTCCGAGAAAACGCTCAATGAGGCTTTAAACTATACAAAGCAATCAAGATGTAGTAGAATTTGAAATCGTCAGGCCTCAGTATAAAAGTCTTCCCAGGCTGCTGACTGTCCAAGCTAAACAGGAAACTGTTGTGGGAGGAATTCCCTAATGCTTTCTTCACACTGCTAGACTTTGGTAAAAACTACTCACCGCTACTGGTCTGGGATGTGCAGCAGAAGATGGGAACTGAGCAGGCTCCTCAGGTAATTCTGCCTCACTTTCATCACTGGAGATTCGGCCATGGACGAGAGGTGAGGGGGCGCGAAGACTGGCCTCATCCTGCCGCTGCTTCTCCTCCTCTGTGGTGCTCTCTGACATAGCCGTAGACCGACTGGAAAACAAAGTCAGTTAGTATGAACTATACAATAGCATCCAGGAGCTGGATGTAGTTTTACCACCTACAACATATCCATAGATGACACGGCAGTGCTGTGTACTACCATGCCCTACATCAGCACACATTCATTATCCTTCTATTTGGATTAGTAGTGCACCCAAAAAACACATTGTGGAAAAGAAATGTAATAAAATTAGTACATTTAAATTTTCATGTGTAAGGTAAAATATGTCAAACCTGTTGTTTTGATTTTGATGATTATGGCTTACAGCTCATGAAAATCAGAAATCCAGCATCTTAAATTATTTGAATATTTCCTAAGTGTTTCCTAAGATGAAGTCACAAAAAAAAAAAAAAGATTTACAATGTAAAAAAGTCCCACATAAAAAATATGCTCCTTTATACACTCAACATTGGTTTGGGCTCCTTCACCACTAATCATTCCACCAATGCAGTGTGACGTGGGGTGGGTTGTCCTCTAATCATAAGGTTGGTGGTTCGATCCCCCGCCCCTCCACAGTCCAAGTGTCTTTGGGAAAGACACTAAACAGAAAGTTGCTCCCGATGCAGTCAGCACCTTTCATGGCAGCTCTGTCACCATTAGTGTGTTAATGTGTGTGCGAATGGGTGAATGAGCAACACATTGTAAAGTGCTTTGAGTACCACTAAGGTAGGACAGAGCTATACAAGTACAGAGCATTTACCTATCACTTGATAGCAGCCTTCAGCTCGTCTGTATTTTTTGGGTCGAGTGTTTCTCACCTTTGATCTGAAAAGAGAACTTCGGACCACTGAGCAACAGTCCCTTTTTTTACTCCCTCCTTTGCCCAGGTATGATGCTTCTGACGCTGCCTCTGGTTCAGGAGTGATATTAGGAATGCGACAGTTGTAGATTCTTTCCTGAAGATGTCTGTGCTTGGTGGCTCTTGATGCATTGACACCAGCCTCAGTCTGCTCCCTATGAAGCTCTCCCAAGGTCTTGAATCCACTTTTCTTGACAATCCTCTCAAGGCTACGGTCCTCCCCGTTGCTTGTGCACCTTTTCCTACCACACTCACCATTCAGTCTACTTTCCATTAATGTTTTCATACAACACTCTGCCACCAGCTGCCTTTTCAGCAGTGACCTTCTCTGTCTCCTTGTGGAGGGTGTCACTGATTGTCTTTTTGGCAACTTTCAGGTCAGCAGTCTTCCTCATGACTGTGGTTGTTTGTTCTGAACTAGACTGAGAGATACACTGTATTTGTACTGTTTGAAAAGTAGTTTTCCTTATACTCCAAATGAAATATTGTAATATTTTGAGATACTGGATTTCTGACTTTCATTAGCTATAAGCCATCATCATCAAAATTAAAACAAAAAAGGCTTGAAATATTTCACTTGATGTGTAATGAGTCTAATATATTCAACCTTCTATTTCTTAAAAAAACAACAACAAAAAACGGAGGAAAAAAACGAAACTTTTCGGAATGACCTCTATTTTTGAGATCCACTCAGAACTGCTTGAGGATTGGTCAAATAACTTTGGAAACCTTTGTTTCACATTTTTAAGTCACACAAAGCATGCAGCCATAAGGGCTACAATGTGTTACTCTCTTGTGTACGATTTTGAAATGAGCTATTTGTGGTCAGTCTGAATAGGTCTGTCATTCTGGCAGCCAGTCTGGGTCTGCCACCGTCCTGCCTTTTCGTCAAGAACAGTCCTCTCGACTAGAATTAGAACCAAGTCAACTCGAGGTGGAACACTTGTTGAGAGGGTGTGCAACATACACACTCCTGCTGCCTGACAATTACACAAGTATGGCTACCTTGCTTAATACTGCCTTCCTGCTTACTTTTCAGGAGTTGACCACACATCACTGCTGCAGGCCAAATTATGTCTGATCAGCACTGGCCATTATTGTGTTAAAGAGGGCAGTGTAAAGCTAAAAAAGTATGCCTCATTAGCTTTAGTAATGCTTGTAACCTGAAAGCGGGAAGGCTGGCCAGAGGTCTCCTGCAGTGTGGAGCACCAGCCTGTTCTCTGGGGGGCTCAGGGCTGGGGGACCGTCCAGTGGAAGAACCTCCCTCCAGGGCTTGGGTCCCTTTCTCCCGAACCTTGGTCTTCAGCTCCGCCACGAGCTGGTCAAAGTTCTTGCTGCGGCCCACCACCTTTCTCCGCTGGTGGATGGAGTGAATCTGCAGATGAGTATTCAGAAATTAGTCACCATTTCACTTTGCCTGTGTGAGTATTTAAATAGTTCATTTCAACAGGGTTATGTGAATGGCCGGCCATGCCAGTGGTTTCAATCACAAGATTCCACTGCTTTCCCTTTCCATCAGACAGGCCTTTCCAATGAGTAGGTGATGCAGCTCTATCTCTCTCTTCAAAGCCAACAGACTCCATTAACAAAAACAGTAATTTGACCCCACAGAATACAAGAGTTACTGATCTACTGCTGCCTTGATTGGTTAGTTTGTGTTACTGTGTGACTTCGGTGTTTCAACACATCAGTTAGGATCCAAATAAGCTATTAAAACATAAAAGTCACACTGTAAGGCCGTTGGCCCCTGAAGAGATAAAACTGCTTTACTTCCTTGTTGGAAAGTCAGCTGCTACCACTTTGACAGGTATGTTAAGCTGTAAGCTGGAGGCACTGGAGTAAACCAACCAACACTGTAGATACGCTCTTGTCTTAACGTTTTTCTACTATGTCTTCTGCCGTCATTGTTTTAAACATGGTCCTGGATGCATTACATTTCCATTTTTTTTCTAGTTGGAAAAACAAAAGACATTCCAGCTTTTCAGTGTACCTGTAATATGTCAAATATGACCAAGGTTATTTGCACAGAAGGGAAAATACACAGTTTACACCCACAAAGTTGGAATAGTCATTGTTTTTAGACACATTCTTCTTTTTATTTTTATTTATACACATCAGTAATCCCTTCTGACCAGGTGCAATGATTACATACTGAGTCCCAGTTATCAGGTGAAACCAATTCTGACTTTGGGATCTGACTGAAGAGTGGGACGTCCTGCCCATTGACACCATGAACAAGCTTATGGACAATATACCACGATGTCTTAATGCATTGATCCATGTCAGGGGTGGCCAGACTCAATACTAGTGACTGAGTGACATTTGAAAGAGTAATACTGGACATTCTAAAGCATGAAATCCTCTCGAATATGTGTTTCCTGTTATATGGCCAAGGTTGAAAAATTGAAACAAAACCCTGAATCCTATTGTTCAATCTTCCCAATTTAGTTTAAGCCTGAATACACAGTTTGCAAAAGTTAACTGAGGTGTTTTTGTTTTTTTTACTGTGATATGTATTCGATGTATATCGTGATATCAATCAAGCTTTGAGAAGATATACACTTTATCAAAATGAATCACATTGTCACTATCATTTAATTTGAAGAGGTAAAAACATATTTTATTCTATTAACTTTATGGGCAACAGTGTAATTTAAACATTTTCATATGGTGTCGGGTTTCAATTTAAGGTTGTAGCTATGGCTCAAAAATAAATCACGTTTTTAGGTTCATTGGCACTGGTGGCCAAATAGTCCCCTTGCAGGTCACATCTCTGTGTCAGGAAATGGACCACTGTTATAACACATGAAGCTGGAACTGGAGCAAAATGAGGAACAGAAATGGCTCAGGCTTTAACATGTGTCATCAAAAAGAGCTTCATCTGATTTGTCCCCCTGAAAATCTCTAATTACTAAGCCAAGCAATTTTTAAAATAACTTATTGTAGTTATATTGTATGAAATGACAAAAAAACATGACATATCCCACTTATCTTACACTGCAGCAGGTGAAATCAGTTCATGTTTGATATCAAATGACTAACATTGAATTTTAAACTCGCACTACTGATGTGTCACTGTAATTATGCATCACAGTTGTTTGAACAACACATTTCTAACTTCAAAAATGAATGCTGAATTAATAGTTAAAATGGCTGCATGGCACATTTCACTGTTTGCAGGTAGGAGAGGAAATGCAGCCACCTACTGAGAGTCTGTACACCTAGGATGCAGGAGGTTTTCCTGCCTGTTTTCCCCATCACTCCTGTTATTTCCTCTTAATCAGGTCATCCTGTCTCTCCCCAGCTGGATGTGGCCTCTCACACTCACTTCCTCCTTCACATGCACCAGCCACCATATAAGGACCCTTCCTGTGCTGAGAACCATTTTCACGTCCTAGTATCAGTCGGTGCTGATCAGCAGAAAGGAGCTGTTCCTGCACTTTCATTCATCTAAGAACATCTACTCTGATCTCAGAGTCATCATTGCTTTTTTTCTTCTTTGCTCTTCCAATAGCAATTTTTTTCTTCAGTCATGACAGTTGGCCTATGCCATCTTGTGATGTGACACATTTCAGTAAAGGGGAAGGTTTTGAAGACATTCAAACAGGATCACTGCTTTAAGCGCAAAAATTCTACGATTCACTCAGCTGTAAACACCGGGTCAGCAATAAGGTCATCTAATTTCAGTAGCACTGTTAAAACACACCAAACGCTAAAAAGCCTTCAGACTGGATTACTGGTAACCAATTCTTCTTCAAAGAACAAACTTTCACCGTATAGAAGTACATTTCATGCACTGAGTAGTGCATGACAACACAGAGGCAAAGACAGTAGAGCTCATCAAAAAAGGCATTGGCAAAAAGACTCAAAGGACTTTTTTTTTTTTCGTGGTTTGGTCTTCAGGTTTTTCAGATGTCAAATTGGTGCATGCAGACCCAAAGTGGCTGGCAACGGACTCATTGTTGCACTGCTAGTTACAGCTATAAAATGATCAGTGGGTACAAAAGGTGAATGTTTCCAAACAGAACATTAGGGCTCACTGAATGGGTTAATGGATGGAAAAAAGATGTGAAATGACGCTATGTACACCTGTGGGAGAGTTTGGAGTGTCATGTTACACAGCGGTGTCCACCAACATCATCAAAATACCACTTCTGGAAACATCTTTTTGAAGAATGGTGATCGTCTCTGTGGTGGACCAGCAACCTGCCCAGGGTGTACCCTGTACACACTGTACCCTGCCTTCACCCTGTGTAGGCTGGGATAGGCTCCAGGCTATTGTGTGGTTTGTCTGCGTATTCTTAAATAGATCACAATTTGTCTGCAGTGCACTTGTTCTAAATATAAAACAGAAGTTTACATCCACTAGTAAAGACCATGCAAATCGTGGTAGTGTTGAGTTTTTAGTGAGTCCTCCAACTCTTAATTTTCTATGATGCAGCTTTGTCGCAAAAAATAATCATTTTGGTTCTTACATCAATTTCTTACAGTTCTTTTGGAAATACGACTAAATCTGCTGGGCCAAAAACATACATACAGCAATGTATTTGTTTGAACGTCCTCTGATCATTTGTACCTCAACTAGGTGCTTTTGGCAGCCGTCCACAAGCCTCTGATTGCATCTTTGACCTCTCTCCTCTTGACAGAATTGGTATACTGTTAAAGCTGTTGGCTTTCTGACACAGAGTTGTTTCTTCATCACAGTCTACAGGTTCTTGATGGGTTTAACTTAGAACTTTGGGGAGACAAGACTAAACCTTAATTCTACCCCAATTTAGTAATTTCTTTACTACTTCTGATGTGTTTGGGGTCATTGTCTTGTTGGAACGCACAACTGCCTCAAAGACACAACCTTCTGGTTGATGATTTTAGGTTTTCCTGGAGAATGTGGAGGTAATCCTTTTTTGTCTTTATTTCATTTATTTTGTGTAAAGCACAGGTCTACTGGCAGCCCAACACTGTAATACTATTACCACCATGTTTGATGGTAGGTTTGGTATTTTTGGGGTTAAAGGCTTCCCCATCGAGCTTTAAGGTTCTGCTTCCAGAGGAAGAACTTCTTTCTCAGCCTCTCAGTCCATGGTGCTTTAAGACACTGTGGACACTGACAGCTGTGTTCCTGCAGCTTCTGGTTCATTGCAGAGCTGCTTTTTGCTGATTCTTGGTTGAGTCTTGACCATCCTGACCAATCGTCTCTCAGCAGCAGGTGATAGTTTGTATTTTCTTCCTGATCGTGGCAGACATGCAACTGTACCATGAACTTTATATTTATAAACAACTGTTTGCACAGATGATTATGGGATCTGAAGCTGCTTTGAAATGGTTTGAAGTGACTCTCCTGACTTGCTCAAGTCAACAATTTGCTTCTTCAGATCTTTGCTGACTTCCTCAGACTTCCCCACTGCAGTGTTTGTGGCTGAGTCTAATGAGTGGATCAGGTGGGTTCTATTTAAATTGGCTCAGAGAAGTCAGCAGCTGTAGGCAATTGTAATCACTCACGAAAAGTTAAGAGGCCATGCCACTATGTAAATTTGTCTACCATAGCTTTGTACATCACCAAAATTGATAATCCAAGTTGATGCGCGTTTTTTTTTTGGGCCCATCAGATCTCTTCATATTTCCAGAAGATCTGTAATAAATCTTGTGTATACCATATAGTGTATTGTGTGACTTCCTGTTGCGCACACACTGTGCTGTGGTTTACAGATTTATTTTAGCTCAACTAGTAACACTAAATATCTCTGTGCCATCTGCTAATATTAAAACTAACACTTACCTAGAACTGCTATTTCAGGTCTGCACACGTGTCTGCTAACATTCTTTTGTCCAAGCGCCTCACTAGCAAGTAATCAGTCATTGCGCTTTACTCAAAATTGCATTTATTCACCTGATTAATTCATCAATCAATCAGTCTTTCAGTTAGCAATGACGAATCTACATTCAATGTTTTTTAACAAGCTTTTTCTGTCACTATCTGAAAAGCCTCTGTACCAAAAATATCTGATCGGTTGGCTGTTGTCTGAGCAAAGACGTGACCACAAACTCACAACCTACTTTGCTGCTCTGATGTGTTCTAATTGGGTCAAAAGCAAAAGGTAAAAGCTGTCTCTCAACCTTCTAAACTGCACAGAAAAGAAAAAGAAACTTGAATAACGGAAACAAGAAAGACAGAAAGGTGAGGAAAAAACTGCAAAGACATGACAATCTGAAGCAAGAAAAAGCAACGCATTGGTCTGCTGGAGCTCAGTGTGTGTGTGTGTGTGTGTGTGTGGGGCTTACATTGCAAGTCAAAAGGCGAGTGCAGACTTTCTTCCTGTCGGGGTCAAGGACGCCACAGTGTTTGTCCAAGTCACACTCCCGCTCTGAGGACACATAGAAACCATCTCAGCTACAACGTCACAGTCAATGAACAATTTCAAACATGTCAATATCTTTATATCCCACACAATGCGCCAATATTGTCAACAAAAAGCTATCCTGTGAAAAACATCATTAATTTACAATAGCCAATTTTCTACCTGGCATTTTCTAATCTCTCTGTTTTTAACCACTTGACACAGAGGCAATTTCATCCATGCTTCCCAGTAATCCATCTCTCATGTCTGACAGAACAGAAATGCTCCTGTTTCAGTTGTGCTTTACCGAGATAACCACTTAGCATCGAATGAGACTGAAGTTAATTTCTTTTAGTTTTAAGCACATAAATGCATTTATTGTTTATTGGGCTGCAAGTACCACTAAAACTAAAAATCCTATGTGGGCCCTGGGAGAACACTGACACTGAGCTACTAATGTGCTTTCCCTCTGCAGACACAGTACAAGAGTGGGTAAATTAGCACCGCCCCGAGTAATCCCTGTGTCCAGGGTGTAAACTGTTGCACACGTAATTCTACAATCTTATGACATGAGATTGTCTTACTACTTCCTCTTAAAAATTTTCTGCTTGGATCTAAAAAAAAAAAAAAAAAGGATATTTTTCAGACAAACATGATCAGTAGAACTGGCCACATGATATGTGCCCACTACTCTACCTATTATTCTTTTTATTTACCCAACACTATCCATTTGTACTCACTGGAGGCCACTTTGTTGTAGGGCCTGGGGACCCGGTGGCCTGGCGCTGCAGAGGGTTGAGAGGAGTCCTTTCTCTGTGTAGGGTGTCTGTCACTGGGTGAAGGCCGACCAGGCGGAGTGCCTCCATGTGGCCAGGGAGGGTCTCTGAGTGACGGAGGTGGAGAGCTCATCGAAGGCTCCAGAGGTGGCGGCTGCTTGAATACTGATGACTCTGTATGGCTGCTGTGGGAGGACTTCTCTAGTGGGGAATGTCTGGGTGATGGGAGACAAGCACAGAGTTAACTTTGGAGGATGCGGGATAAACTAAAACATAACTACTGCATTAAACGAAATGTTTAAAATTTTAATGCTAGCAGTGAAATCATGTCCTTCTCTCCTTGCGTGCCATCCTTTAATTACAAGCTGAAATGACAAGCAGTAAAATTGCCGCCCAAATGGTGCCGCTTGACACAAGACCTCCGACACTCGATTTATGAAATACCAAAAAAAACATTACATACAATGAACTCGCCAAGAGTTTTATAACTAAAATACAAAACTGGCAAAGTAAGACATTTTCATGGCCGGTGCAGTAACTTTCCTCTCAAGTAACTCCATAGCCAAGAAGTAGCCCAGCACATAATACCCTGTAGAAGAGTAAAGTAGAATTTTTTACACCTAATATTTTGAAAAAAAATTCAACTCTGAGATATTAAATGTAAATCAATGAGCTTTGGAGGCGCAGTAGCTTGCCTTTGTTGCTACTGAACTGGGTAAAGTGAGCCACTTTCCCATTTCCAATCTTTATGCTAAGCCGTCTGTCGATTTATCAGACATGAAAATGGCATCAATAATGTCATCTGGCTCCTGGCAAAGTCTACAGGTGCATTTCCCCAAACTTAAACAAGTGTGACTTTGATTCAAACAAGCTCAGACCTTTATTGTTAACACTGGGGATGGTATCGTTGTCAGCGTACTATTCTTACTGACACTGCTGATCAATCTGGTACTTTACTTTAACAATACTCTTATTGGTACTTTTTGATTGGTTTTTGTTTGTTTGTTTGTTTTGGTTTTTAAGAGAGAAAAAATAAATTAAAAACAGAATTCCGATTGCTTTATTTCCTCATACATACTGTATTAAAACTAGCACCTGGGAATCATCAGAGTGCTGTGGACAGTGTCACAGCTTCACTCACAAAATATAACAAAATGCAATGCGTTTCATTCAATTGTCCTGTATTATATCAATATTAAAAGCTCCACCTTGAACAGACATTCAGCAAATGTCAGCGCATTGTGCCAATAATACCTCTCACTCTTCACTTTTGAGTGCAAAATTAGTTAAAGGACCTTGACAGTATTTTTATTGTGTGATTTTAATCGTTTTAGTGAAGATACAGCTGAAGTACTTCTACCACTAACATCACCATTCAGTTAGATCAACAGTGAACATAAAGTAAGACAGAGTTTGTCACTAAATCCTGCTGCTCTGTGCTCTGAAAGTGAAACTGAGATAAGAGTGACAGTTGAGGTGAGGCTCTGAATTTCACACTGAATTTAGGAACGCAGCCACAATTAAACAAACAACTGAAGAATTCTTACTTTCAATCATTAGTCAATGTTTGTATAAATTAGTGAACTCCGAGTTCGGGCTTCCAGCAAACACAACACACCTGGTTAGCCAGGGATGGGCTACGAGCTCAGCAGTCAAACTGAGCATTTCTCCGTCTGTATGTGATGAACTTTTGCTGAATATTTTAACAGATTGTGCACATTTCTGCTCTTACATGCAAACGATTTGTTACATATGTGGCAAAGAACATGTTCTGCATCAACTCTAGAGAAGTGTAATCATACTTCAGAACTTTGTCATCCTTGTGACCTGCACTGAACTGCAGGTGGGTGACAGAGAGCTGCTCCGCTTGTCACACACTGTGGGAGCTACAGAGGCTCCGTTATGGATTTGGAAAGTGACAATATATCAAAGACATATTTTCCAGTGGTGGCACAGAATGTACAACACAATGTTCTTACTTTCTAAAGTACCAATGGCAGAACTGTTAACATCGGAGCTTATCGATCCCCTGGTATTTAAAAACTCGGTACCCATCCCTATGCAACATGTTATTTAATGATCGCCGGGCTCAGGTTTGAACTTGCCCGCTTTATTCTTACCGTACTCCATCCTTGGAGTTCTTGGAGTGTCTGTGCTGGGGGGGAGTGGAAGGTGAAGGTGGGGCTGCCCGTAGCTGCCCAAGGCCCTGGCCTCGACCCTCCCATGATGAAGCAGAGGCAGTGTTGGTCCCATGAGAAGGAGAGTGGCCATGATGCGGTCTCTGCTGGGGCTGAGGTGCAGGAGTGGGGGAGCGCAGTCGGGCGTACAGCTTGGCCAGAGGGCCATGTCTCCGCTCGCAGTGCTTTTCAAATGCCTGCGGCTTCACTACTTGACCACAATGGCTGCACACCACCAGGTAAAAGTCATCATGGCCTGGGTAAAGGCCAAAGATGGACATGTCTGAAAGGAGAGTGGAGGGGAGCAGTCGTAAGAGAGAGAACACAAGGACTACAAAGCTGTAAAAGAGGAAACATTGCAATGTCACTTTGGGACAAGGGTTAATGCTGCAACATGGAAATATGCTAGATTGTCTCACTAAAAAGAGTCCTGGTGAAAAATACAGCTAAACACCATTTAGAAACTTACAGTGCTGCAATATTCAGGATTCTGACAGATGTGTGTATGCGTGGGTCAGTCTATGATAGATGTATATTAATGTTGCAAAGTACGGATTTATCCAAAACAAATCCTTACGTAGATGTTAACTAAATAAGAAATGAGAACAGGAAGAAAGAACACAAAACTTGTGTGAAAATGTGTGGACGTCTGCTCAGCCTTCTTAATCATATCCTTTTTTGGCTGTTACTCCCATGTGATGCAGATGCAGAATGGCAGAGTGTGAGAAGATGAACACACTTCCGCAGACATACTATCAAGGTGCTCCTTGTGAGTTATCATGTCATGCTGTGACACACACACACAAACACACACACACAGGGGGAGCGTCTGTTGGACAGCTGCTGCTGCAGACAGTCAGGCGAGGTGCCAGAAGGTGCCTAAGCACAATACTATCCAGCATTAATACTCGCCCAGGTCTCTGCAAACCAGGAGCTTCATTTAGTCACTGCCTCTGGCCAAAGCAGGAGACGAACAAAAAGCTGAGGTACAGAACCACAATACAAGAACACACAGCGTATAAGGTCATCAGTCATGCCTTCTTGTTTTCAGACATCCAAAACAACAACAGCCTTGACTACGTCTTGTAGATGTTGGTGTGCAGACTTACCCTCTTTACTGAGTGACATGGCCTCTGCAGCCTTTTTGCCATTCTTACTGCAGTCATCCACATCGGGCCCTGAAACATCCCATATCACACACATGTTCAACAAAACCCTTGGGAGGTAGGGTGTTTTCTAAATGATGTACGTCAGGTTCATCAGCAAGACAAAGAATAACTTCTCTTCACAAATTCTGTATATTAACAGGCCCTTAAGCTGTGTTATATAAAGGACTGATTTGCAGGTCAACTGCTTCTCCACGGATGGCTGCTGGTTATTTTTTTCTTATCATCTTTGGTTTGCCAACCAATACGAGGAACACTGTGTGGCTGAGGAGGACTTTATTTGATAGTTCTGGGCAGAGTAGCACTTGGAGGGATGCCAGACAATGAGTGAGCTTACATACTTAAAGCAGGGAAGGGCAAGAGCACTTTTTAGGCAGAAGTCACACATTTTAGGATTCCTGTCGGATACAGAAATGTTACCATCAGTAAAACGCACTGACAGTCAAGTGGGAAATTCAAGATGAAGCGAAAAGAACACAGAGTAACGTTTGCTCATATCAAAGGCTGGGCCAGCATTTACATGGTGGCAACAGCATCAGACTCCTCCTCCGTCACCGGTGTCTACTCTCAATCCTCCTGCTGCTGCTGCTGCTGCTTGCGTTAGCATGCTAACGCTAACTGCCTCGTCGTCCACGGCTGCCTGCTAGCTAGCCTGCCTGCTAGCCTAGCTTTCCACGGCAAGAAGTTGCTTACCCAGCCATCCACACTAGCCTCCTTCCGCTCTGATGCCACCGCTGCCCGGCTGGTTTCACTACAATCATACGCATCGCTTCAGCGCTGGCAGCCTATTTCGCGGCCCCAGTGATCAAACACAGGCTATAATGGTTAGGTCTTGCAACTATCACTCATTTTTTCTTGAAGGCAGCGTCTGCAGTGGGACCTGGAAGAGAGCAACATGTTACCCACCCAGCGCTAGGACCCGGCAGGGTCTTTGTTTGGGTAACATGGTTAGCTCAGTCCTCCGTTTCCACGAAAATAAACCCCGGTGCTTTGGCTAAATGGCTTCGCAGCTGCCAGTGTTTGCGTCAAGGTGCTTCCTTACCATCCGCCGCTGTCACGCCGGCCCAGTCGGCCCAGGCAGTCCAGCTTTGACCCACGAAATCATCGAGGCTAGGCACCCGCCGATCCAGAGCAGCCATTACTTTTACTGCGCGTTCACGCACCGCCATCATCACTGCGCGGCAAGCAACTTACGTCATACCTCGCGTTCTCGACAGGATAGGAACTTCCTGCGTGCGCGTTCTGGAGACACCCACACAGAGAGGCAGGGACTGGACCAGACAGGGTGATGACACGGTGCAACAGGCAGAAGGCTACCTCCTGATTCCCAACTCAAAGATGTGAAGTGACAGGGATCATACAAGCCAATTTCATCGTTTGTTTTTATACACAAACAACAAAGACACACTTCTAAGCTAAATAAAAAGCAAAAACAGCACTTCTTTTAATAAACAAACGTGTACAAATGAAAAAGCACATCAATACATAGCCCATGCGTTGAGGCAAGCTCATGTTTGTAACACCTTCAAAATGAGATTATTCAAAAAACTTTACATTGGGTAAAGAAATCAAAAACACAATAACATAGGTGCAGCATTTACAACGAACAAACAGAAGTAAAACAGAGAGGAACTCAGGCACAAATAAGGTCTAGGTCCACTTCAGTTAACAGAGCTTACCATCACTTACAACAAATACAAAAAAAATTAAGCCAATGAACCTCTACAGCATCCCACAGCAAAAAATTGAACAGACTTGCCTCCAACTGAATCCCTGCACCTTCTACCCTGCAGTGCACATGTATGTTTCCAGTAGCACTGTGCACTCCACAAACTACATGTTGTGACTTTGTTAAATGCCCAGAGACACTGAAATCAGTCAGGAATCCAACCTGGCTTCAAGATTACAATATGTCAGGTAGGGTTTTTTTGTACTTAGATTAAAGCTTTATTCAGGAATTCCCACCACGTAAACTAAGGTTACACATGTGGACAAAATTGTTGGTACCCCACGGTTAATGAAAAAAACCCACAATGGTCACAGAAATAACTTGAATCTGACAAAAGTAAAAATAAATACAAATTATATGAAAATTAAGCAATGTAAATCAGACATTGCTTTTGAACCGTGGTTTAACAGAATAATTTAAAAAAAATAACAGAACAGAATCACAAAACAGGCCTGGACAAAAATGATGGTACCTTTAACTTAATATTTTGTTGCACAACCTTTTGAGGCGATCACTGCAATCAAACCATTTCTGTAACTGTCAGTGAGACTTGTGCACCTCTCAGCAGGTATGGTGGTCCACTCCTCATGAGCAGACTGCTCCAGTTGTCTCAGCTTTGAAGGGTGTCTTCTCCAGACAGCATGTTTCAGCTCCTTCCACAGATGTTCAATAGGATTTAGATCAGGGCTCATAGAAGGCCACTTCACAATAGTCCAGTGTTTTCCTCTGAGCCATTCTTGGGTGTTTTTAGTTTTGTGTTTTGGGTCATTATCCTGTTGCAAGACCCATAACCTGTGACTGAGACCAAGCTTTCTGACACTGGGCAGCACATTTCTCTCTAGAACACCTTGATAGTCTTGAGATTTCATTGTACTCTGCACAGATTCAGACACCCTGAGCCAGATGCAGCAAAGCAGCCCCAGAACATAACAGAGCCTCGTCCATGTTTCACAGTAGGGACAGTGTTCTTTTCTTGATATGCTTCATGTTTGCGTCTGTGAACATAGAGCTGATGTGCCAAAAAGTTCCAGTTTTGTCTCATCTGTCCATAGGACATTCTCCCAGAAGCTTTGTGGCTTGTCAACATGCAGTTTGGCAAATTCCAGTCTGGCTTTTTTAGGATTTGTTTTCAACAGTGGTGTCGTCCTTGGTCGTGTCCCATGAAGTCCACTTTGGCTCAAACAATGACGGATGGTGGGATCTGACACTGATGTACGTTGACCTTGGAGTTCACCTTTAATGTCTTTAGAGGTGGTTCTGGGCTCTTTTGTTACCATTCGTATTTTCTGTCTCTTCAATTTGTCATAAATTTTCCTCCTGCAGCCACGTCCAGGGAGGTTGGCTCCAGTCCCATGGATCTTACATTTCTGAATATGCGCAACTGTAGTCACAGGAACATCAAGCTGCTTGGAGATGGTCTTACAGCCTTTACCTTTAACATGCTTGTCTATCATCTTCTTTCTAATCTCCTGAGACAACTCTCTCCTTCACTTCCTCTGGTCCATGTTTCGTGTGGTACACACCATGTCACCAAACAACACAGTGACTACTTGTAACCCTATAAATAGGCCGACTGACTGATTACAAGTTTGTAGACACCTGTGATGCTGATTAGAGGACACACCTTGATTGAACTTGTCCCTGTGGTCACATTATTTTCAGCCTTTTGTAGGTGTACCATCATTTTTGTCCAGGTCTGTTTCATGAGTTTATTTTTTAAAATAATTCTGTTAAACCACGGTTCAAAAGCAGTGTCTGATTTTCATTGCTTAATTTTCATTGAATTTTTATTTCTAATTACTTTTGTCAGATTCAAGTTATTTCTGTGACCATTGTGGTTTTTTTTCATTAACCGAGGGGTACCAACAATTTTGTCCACATGTGTATGTGTGTATATGCATGCATCAATTGTACAGTATACAACAGAAGTGAGTACACCCCTGTGTATTGTCACTTTATTGTTAAATAATTCAAAAATTCTATCACCTCTCCACAATCAAAAACAAATACAT